GAGACATCAGGCTTTCTACAGCAGTGATTCCACACCATTAAAAATAGAAGAAATGATCACTAAGGATAAAAAAAGACATGAGAACAAATCAGGAAAGATGTCAGTTACAAAGTAACACATTAAAAGCAGAAAAAGCCACCAGAGTGTACCAATGCATATTGAGAAATAGCAGAAAGATGTATTCGACATAATGCTATATATGTTGTATGTATATTAGTGTAGCAAAATATGAAGAAATATCTGAGAAGTAGCTCATACATGTGTTCTGCTGGTATAGCCATTTTGTTACGAGATAACTAAAGCATCATAGCTACCGCCAAAGATGCAATCATCATCAATTTGTAACATCACTGAGTCTGCTAGTATCCATCACACATGTTGTTTTTACATTGTTCCACTGTGAAACTACTGACAATAAAGTGTGTGTGTGTGTGTGTGTGTGTGTGTGTGTGTGTGTGTGTGTGTGTGTGTGTGTGTGTGTGTGTGTGTGTGTGTGTGTGTGTGTGTGTGAGTAAGTTTGAAAGTGGGACACAGGAAGAGGAAGTGTATGAGGCATGCTGAGAGAAAGTGGGTTAACATAGAGAGTAAATAACAACCTCTACTCCCAAAATAGCACAATAAGTGATGAAATCTAGCAGAGAGGAGGGATCTGAGGGAGGATTCTTTTTTTTATGATAAAAGATGACTCATGACTTTGATAGTGAAACACTCTCACATTCAAACCAGCAATTATCCTGCAGGAGTAGGCGTTTTTTCCCTCAAAAAGTGGATATATCATAGAGCAGCACTGAGCTTTTTGTGAATGCATTAACACAAAAGATGAAATCTTCAATAACTCATAGCTGCATAATGAAGACTGTAGCAGGGAAAGCGTATTCCTGTAGTGGACCCTGAACGTAGCATCTCCCTGGTTCCATCAAGAAAAACCAATGGGATTTTTACAGGAAATAAACTCTGTGTCAAACCAGCGTTTCACATGTGAAGAGCATGGTCACGTGCAGATTCCAAGGGATCTAACAAACCTAACCTCCGAAAATTATGACCAACTGCTTTCTAACATTAGGAAAGATCTAGCTCGGTGGGGCCTGCTGCCCTTTCTGGGCTTGATCCAACGTGTTGAAATAATTAAAATGAATACTCTTCCGAGGCTGCTCTATTTGTTCCAGTCACTGCTAGTGGATATCCCAGACAAAACATTTATAGAATGGGACAAGTGGATTTCGAGATTCCTATGGCAGGGAAAGAAACCAAGAGTTAGGTACAAAACCCTACAGGTTCCCAGAGACAAGGGGGGCCCTCCCCTGTCTTAAAACATACTACCAAGCTGCTCAAATTAAACCTTTGATAAATATATGTAATCCCGCCTATTCAGTAATATGGAAATCAATTGAGTGTCAATACTCAACCAAGGTCCCACTACAGGCAGTTATTGGCGACAGTGAATTGAGGCACCACCTGTAGTCCATGGGCCAGACCAAATATCGGTACCACCCGAGGTGGCAAAACATTTGTGGTACCATTTTGTTCATAGGGTCCATATAAGTACATTAAGCCATGATAGACTTTCCAACTGAGTAGCTTAGCGGAGTTACATGCTACCCCATTATTGATCAAATAACGCATTTTGTCACTTACAAAGTTTGGCGGTATGTTCTGTGTTTGTCCCTGCTATGTGGAAAATGGTAATGAAACTTGCCTGAATGAATATTAAGCTTTGTATGTTCTATTTGGAATATATTTTCAGATTTTTGGGGAAGAAGCTCATTTTGTTGCTTTTCAGATAATGTCACCTCTAGCATTGCCATTTTACATGTTATCGGACACTGCGTCTGATGTACCGGTATGTAGACATACATTTTTAGTAAAGATGTATAGTTAAGATTAAGTTAATATTTCAGTCCCAGAGGCAGGACCCAGCGGCACGACACCAAAAGGGCCACGCCTGGAGTGCCTCATCCATTGCACATCTCAAGATGAAGACTCAACCCTGGTATCACCAAAAGACATTGGTTCCTGGAAAACCCTGCTGAGAGCAGCAGAAATAAGACAGCATGCACCGATCTTAGACATCGCAAAGGACTTGCCAGATGATGTCATACCACCTGTCACCTACCATAGGAAGTGCAGAAGCATCTTTACTGGAGAGAGGCTCCAGGACAAGTCGCTGTACGTGACCTGTGGCGAGGCATGCTACCTGATCACCAAGGATCACTGGCATGAAATCCAAGATCTGAGATCAACCCAAGAAGAAGCTGATACACGCATGCTACTTCATGCCAGACATGCTTCAGGTGATGGTTATGTGTCCATAATCATCACAGCTGAAGACACTGATACTGTGCCTTTGCTTCAGCAAGACGATGGCCTGCCCTCTGTATCAGAAGTGTGGTACACAGAATCGTACACGATACATAGACATTGGTAAACTAGCGAGCTCCCTGGGCGAGGAAGTCTGCCAAGGTCTTGTTGGACTACATGCTCTCACTGGGTGTGACACGGTCAGTGCATTCGCTGGTCGTGGAAAGTTAAGTACACTGAAGCATCTGAAGGAGAATGAGACGTACCAGGAGGCCTTCAAGCGTCTTGGTGAAGCATGGGATGTATCTGCTGACCTATTTGATAAGATGCAGGACTTTGTTTGCCGGTTGTATGCATCCTCATCCACCACCTCTGATGTCAATGAACTCCGCTACAAACTCTTCTGTGCACAACGGGGAGAGGTGGAATCCAGCCAACTGCCACCATGCAAGGATTGCTTGCACATGCACGTCCTCCGCGCGAACTATCAGACCGCGATTTGGTGACGCTGTCTTGTGAGTGAACCTGTTGTGCCAGACCCCAAGGGCTGTGGCTGGACTACAGGTGACGATGGCAGTCTGGAAATAGAATGGATGCAGGGATCACCGGCACCTGATGCAGTATTGCAGCTGATGTCCTGCAAGTGTGCACATATCTGCAAACTTCCAGCCTGTGTGTGCCTGGAGAACCAACTGAAGTGCACGGACATGTGCAAACTGCAGACATGCACCAACCAGAGAAGTGAAGATGAGGACGAAGTCGCAGTGGAACTGGACGAGTCTGACACTGATGATGAAGAGAACTGACAATGTTTTGTTTAGGCAATGGTCTGGACTTTATAGTCATACCGGTACAACTTCAGATGAATGTATAGTACCCATGAAGTGCATGGCAAGTCACTGTCGATGAGTATAAACTGATGTATACTCAAGTACTGGGTAAATATGTAAGTAAATCAAACTAGACTTGCCCCCATGAATATTTCTTGACCTTGTGAAGGAGTTCTACATATAAAACTGGTAGTATAGTTGACTTTGTCTAGTTGGCTGGTCAAAGCTAGACACTACAGACATGTACATGTAACTATGTTATGCAGTTCCATGTTTTATGTTTGTTTTTTTCAAGTAATAATAATTTTATTTGGCTAAAATATTGTCCAAGTTACTTTAGAATGACCTGTCTAACTAAACAACACCATAAGAACAATGCATTAGCCATTAAATGGTTGACTTCATGTTGGTATTTGAGTTATATGTACATTCAAGCCACATTTTACGCCTTCGAATTTGGCGCTTCGGGTCATTGTATTCAATAGCTGATTGATTTCTATGACTAAGCTACCACTCTGGAATGTCTATCATACCAAAATATCATCTATAGATATATGCCACTTGAAAACACTTCACTAAAATTTGCCACCTTGGGTGGTACCGATAAGTGGAAATCCAGGTATGGGCTTCACTACTGGGGGAACAACCCAAACCATGTTTAGATCTGTCACTGAAAATGTGGTTTAAAGTAGCTAAGATATTTGGGACCGTGGAGCCTTACCCACTGATCAGTTGGGTGGCCTGGGATCCAGGTTTTATTCCAAACAGGCTTGATGCAAATTTTAAAAAATGGCAGGCTCAGGGCCTGAATATTTATTTGGATTTATTTGAAAGAAACACACTTAAAAGCTTCCAAAATCGAAGGGATCAATACGGCTTGGCCAGCCAGGACCTCTTCCGATTTTTGCAGCTCAGACATCATGTAAACAAACTGATTAGTAAAGAAGATATGTTAAAAGCATTATCTGGAACTGGTAATTGTTTTTCTTAATTTTTTTATTTGGTCTGTATGCGTGATTCACATTATTTGCTTTGTATTATTTCAAAAAATGTAAGATGGTCTGTAACTGTTAATTTTTTTTTGTGCAAAGAAAAAAAAAAAGAAGGGCACGGTCACATGACTTCACGTCACCACCACTAAGCTAGGGGTGGGTAATGTTTGGAGGGATGCCGTTTAGTAGTCTCATTTAGACACTTGCTAGCAACCACTGCTTTTAAATTCACCAGTGTAGTATTTAATCACATACTTTGTGTCTTAGAACAAAAGGTGAACATCTCTTCAGTGATAACCACACACACAGGGGACAGGAAGTGCTAAAATGCTGACTCATTACGGTTTCTTTTTTGTGTGTGTTGATTGCACAATCTCTCCTTATTTTACAATAGTTAGTCATGTTCTTATTGTATTACCTTCATTGTATATTCATGTTTCTCATATTTCTAAAAACAGACCTTATTCAGGAATCTAACCAAAAACTAAATCAAAAAAGGAATTGAGTATGAGAAAGGGGAACCAGAAGTGGTCAAATGCTGACTGACATTTTACAGTATAATTCCTCTCGCTGTGTTTGTGTATGAACCAAACAACACAGCACATTTATTGAATGTAAATCTACTTTGCAATAAACATTATTCTGGTTTGACGACTCATTCCTGCACCCCTATGTTGAGCTGATATACACACACAGCTGCCATCACTGAGATCAGAGCGGTTCACTGTTGTCAGTACAAACAGCGCTTGTCATGTTTACAAATGAAGCCGACTTAATGTCAGCAGAGACTAACAGAAAGCTCCGAACATACTATGGAGCGGCTTCTCTGTTTGATGTGTACATAAAAGCCAGGAAGAAGAAAAAGGGGCGGGGGACTTACGACGCAGACGGGCATCGAGTCGTCATCGCCTATGGAGTCCTCAGGATCGTGATGGGGATCCTGTAATCACACACACGCACACACACACACACACACACACACACACACACACACACACACACACACACACACACACACACACACACACACACACACACACACACACACACACAAACACATTAACCTGTGAGGACGTCACTGCTGCTGCAGGTTCAAACATGCTTCCATAGCTGAAAACACCTCAGTGTGCATGCTTTATTCAAACGGATTATTCATGAGAGGACTTTTATCTTTGTTGTACAATAGTCACAAGAATTAGCCGAATATTTTGCTAATCTATTAACCGTTAGTTGGTTTATCAGCCTCTCAATTGTGTTTTGTTCTGCTTTCTTTCTCAGTCTTAAAGGATATTAGTCCTGCTTTCATAATAGGTTTGATTATGTATCATCTTTATTGTTCACTGTATTTTGTCAACACTTGCTGTTGATCATCATGACTTGTTTCATTCTATGAATCTTTTAACATTTACATTATAGCTTGAAAAAGCCCTTTAAAGTCCAACTGATTTGCTCAAAATGTGCTTTATAAATATAGTTTTGGTTAATGATTCAAAAAGTGCATTTTTATAGAACATTTTTCTCTTCTTTTTGTCAGGGTTACAGGGGACTTTTAAAACAAATTGTGTCAAATGACAAATAGCTATCTGTAATAAGATCCATCATTGTGTCACATCTGCCGCCTACATTCCTGTACTTTGCTTCTTTTTGTGCTCCCGAGCTTTCAGAGGTGAAGCGAGGCGACCTATGAGTAGGCGTCTTTTATTTTGAAAAGGCTCTCATCATCTCCCACCCGCTCTCTGTGACGGAGGAATCAAGCAGAGGTCACAATTGAAAAAAAGAAAGTCCCCAGACGGTCACAGTGAGCTTTAATTCTACCTCATCCAAAAAGGAACACAACAGATATGAATTAGCATTACGTAATAGCACAGGATTAGTCTGCTCCCCTGCTGGACCAGCAGCTGTGATTGAGACACTGATACTACCGCCAGAGAGAAACAATGATAACAACAAAAGTCATTATGTACTTTGCCGGTGAGCTTGAAATCTGCACAGCGGGGGGAGAGAGAAGGGAGGGATGGATTATGATCAGAAAGAGAAAGATGCAGACAGCAAGGTGACAGAGAGGTTATAATGGAGAGGCAGAGAGGAAGTCAATGACGGCAGAGTCTGATTGAATTGATAGATACAAACTGTGCAAACTGACTGAGGACTCCCACATTTGTTGAATAATCTATACAATGTCACACATTTGCAAAAAAAGGTTTCAAGGTGACATTCAGAAATCATTTGTTCTGTCCAAACAACATCCCAAAAATATTTTGAGAGTGCATTTGTTGTTTTATTGACCTATTGATACAATTATAAATGTGTAACTCCACACGAAAGAATTGGACAGCTTTACAATTGTCTCTCTTTGAAAACACATATTGTTCGAATGTATTTGTTACAATACCCTCTTCAAGAAAAAACATGTTCTGGTACCACCTTCTCAAATGTGAGAAATAGGGGTTTTCAGTTTCAATGGATTTTTTCTATCCTTTTTTATTTCCTTTTTAAGTGTTTTACTATTCATTTTTTAAAGCTGTATTTTAGTTGATATATTTTATTGATACTTATCTGTTACTGTATCATATATTGTAATTTAAATGTGTTGCCTTGGGTGATGCTGTAAGGCTTCTAAATATGATTGTAATAGTCAAATTAATTGGTAAATGCCATCAAATGTATTAGAACAGTTATATATCTTTAAAACTATTATTTGGAGAGAAAAAAAGCAATTTGCTTGCATCACCTTGCGCTCTGGGAGATTAGGATTTGTGGTTTCTATTATTTTCTGACGTTTTACACACAAAAAACTCATGACAATAATCATTACTTGCAGCCCTAAAGGATCAAATGATTCCATTTTCCATCCAGCTTTTCGAAAGCACTTTCTTTAAGCCTGCAGCGTGCAGGTTCATCGCTGAAGCCATCTTTATCTACACTCATCTTTGTTTGTGCATTTCAGCAGCAGAAAAGTGCAGCCCCTCTCCCCTCTCTGCTCTTTGTGTTGAATGATCTTGTCTTCAGGGCAAAATCCTGCAAAAAGAATCTCGACTTCATTCCACAACTTCACTCCTTTGTGTGTGTTTGTGTCGGCCTAGAAAAAAAACTAGGGTGACAGATTACTGCACATCGCTGCACGCCTAGAGGCTACAAGGTGTAACGAAGGGGTCAAAGGTCAGCTTCTGTCTGGTGGAAAGTGAGGTTGAAAGAGGCCACGTGGGAAAAGCTGCGCACAGGTACGAGCTTGTTAGGAAGTCGGACAGAAAGAGAGGAGCCGGGTGACTCAGTGCATTCTTCAGCATGAATCAGGTTTGATTATTCGCCTACAGAGACAAACACACACTATTTCTCCATACAGCTCTTGTGACACCTCATACAGGAAGTGGACACACAGACGTAAGCTCTTCCTGAATCGTGAGTGGCACCGCCTCCTGCTCTTTATCAAGATTCAAAAACGTGAAAGGAGGAAGCAAAAAAAACACTCAATCTGAAGCTGTTTGTTTCAATCTGAAGTCTCAGTTTGAAATTCTTTAAACAACAATTCCACACCGTTTGGCACCAAATGATAAATATTCAAATCCAAACCAAGACATGCTGTGGCCTGATTTATTCTGCACAATAAATCATTGGAAACAACCCCAAAGTGACTCAGTGGCTTTCTGACACCCACCCAGGAATCCTTTTCAAGGACTTCTTATCACATGTTATGCCTCATTTGTGTTAAGTAAGCACGTGTGTTACCCAATAAGAAGGATCTTTTTTCATTGTTATAGATCAGAAACTCGTCTTTTATGGTAGTGAGTTGAATACTTTGGGTTTATTATTCTGTTGCTTTTAAGAAACAAGACTTTTGGAGATGACAAGCATTTATTTTGACATATTAATGCTCACAATGTATCTCTGTAACATGGCTATACTATATAGAGAGAAATGTAGCACATCATTGGTATCTATTTGAAATGTTATGGCTTTTTTTGTGAGTCTATGTTTTAATGCATTTCTGTGCTTTTACTGAGTATTCATTTTCCCAATAATGACGCTATTATCATATTAGTGCACTTAACGCCATTTCTACCTTTACATTAAACAATTATTAACAAACATACCGTGATCTTATACTTAACTTGTATGTTTGCATATCCTGTACTTTATTCCTTCTGAACGTTATTGTAGTATGTTCTGCTGTTTTAAATCTTAAATGGATATAATAGTCATATTTAAGTGACTTATTGCGAGTCTCTAACTCTTAATAGTGACCTGTGTCAACTTATTGATTGCTAAATCAAGCATGTTTGGACTTTATGGACACACGAATGCACTTTATAGAACAGCTATGATATTACTAAATACATTTTAAGATCATTGATATCACTTATATTCACAATGGTAGGTTAATGAATGTGTGTCTCCTGTAACACTGATCTAATACACATAGTCTGACAGCATGTGTCTGTGCTCAGACTGAAGCTTTCAAATCTATTTTAATCACATTTGTTCTCAGTATAGGAGCTGTAAGAGCAGAATAATTATCTTATAGGGTCTTCAAAGTGAATTATGGCACTTTTGTATTGTATTCCAATCTAATTTGGTGTACTTATAGAAACATGTATTGTAAAATAATTATAAAATAGTGATTCTAAGGTCGATAATAGAGCTTTTTTGAGAAAAGTTATTGCGCAACACTTTAGCAGAATATTTATCCTATAGCAATTTATAGATTAATAATTGTGTATTTTATTTTTAATTCCATATCCATATTGAAGCTTTAACAAAATTGAATACTATGCTAATAGTGGCAAATTACGGTGCTTAATAGAGTATTTTATTCTAATTTAGCATCCATATATCACCTTAAAAGTACAATAATATAATAATCAAATAGTGACTTGAAGGTGTCATTGCTTCAATTTACATCTTGCTGCATTTTGTGTATTTTAATAGAATTTGGCATTCATATATTATCTTTAAGAGGAGAATGCCTATCAAATAGTGATTACATGGTGTACTACATTGCTTTAAATAATATCTCCTTGCTTTGTTACTATTTAAAACTAATTGAGAGTCCCAATATAAGCGTTAGAGCAGATCAACTATATAATAGCGACTTTAGGTAGTATTATGGTGTTCAGTCTAATTTGTAATGTAGACTATAGCTTTTTAAAGAGCAGAACACTTCTCATAGAGTCACTTTGAGGAGTATTATAGTGCTTCAAATTACATCCTGTTGTGTACTTCTACTCTACCTGTGGACTACCTGGCTGCAGCCCAGCTTAAAGTCACCTCTCAGTGTGACAAGGTGTTTAAAGAAATGTCTCACCTCTCCCTGTGTCCCCCCCAGAGGCATCTTCTGCCAGGGGTCCCCCAACTGAGCCAGAGGCATCTTCTTCTACTTTTCTTTCTTCTTCTTCTCTTATAATTCTCTTCTCAGTCCCAATTCTTCGTCCCTCCCTCGGTCGACAATTCCACTTCAGTCGGCGTTTTCTTTCTCTTATGTTATCTTTATATTAAATGTTTTTGACGCCAAGGAACCGAACCGCCCGCGGAGCTCTCCACCGAACGTCCGAGCCAAGCTGATCCGAGCGAACACCTCCTAATTCCGGATCTGCCGCGGAGCAGAGACCGCCCCTTCCTCCGGGGAGACAAACATGAGAAAAAGCTGCAAGCAGGAGGAGGAGGACGCCCTTTTTCGGAAACTGATTGACTCAACACACACTTACACAAACACACACACTACACACAGTTATCTCTCTCTGTTTCTCTCTCACTTCCGTTGTTTCCCAATATGGCGGCCGGTGTCAGCTTACCTGTCTGTCAGAGCGCTGCGTCACGCATGCGTCACGTCAGGAGGCGTAAAGTCACTTTTAAATTATATAAAAAAAGAACAACTTTAAAATTGTATAATGAAATACTTTTATTAATATACCTTGAGATATAATACAATTAATAAAATGTAATAAAAGAAAAGACACAAAAAACCACATCATAAACATTAAACTGTCAATGGTTTCGTTGAAATATAAGAATTGAATATATATAACATTTTTTTTTCTTAAGATTAAGTTAATTATTTAAAAAATGTTTTGTTTTAGCTATAAAATCCTTTGTATTCATATTTATCAATGTATTTAGTTCAGTTGTTTAAGTACATATCTGAAATATTTGTACATTTGAAAAAAAAAAGTGCTTGCAATTGTTTTAGCTCTCATTTGTATTCCTAATTATTATTCTGTTTAATTCATTTTTAAAAATGTTTAAGGTTTGTTTGTTCATTCTGTTTTTTTTATTTTTCCATTAAATTAACACTTTTCATCCTTACAATGTTAGGTTTCCATGAATGTGAATAAATAAAAACAGTTGATTTTACAATCTGGTAGTGACATCTAGTGGTCACTAGTAGTGGGGAAGTTAATTTACTTTAGTAGTAAAAGTACTTGTAAGTAAAAATACTCATAAGTACTAGTCCTTCCCTGGAAAAAGATTACAAATAAGTATAAAATGTCACATTCTCTTACAAGATTAGAACTATTGCAATAATGTTAAGGTAGGATTTGACTGCTGTAGTTGGCTCATTTTGAACCATTAGCTAATGATTATTTCTTTAAAGATTAATGTGATAATTCTCTCCTTATAAGGTTACATTTGTTAAAATAACACAGAGCTGTTCATTTGTTTGTGTGCTCACATTTTTAAAGTATCTAAAGCCGTCAGATATAAGCAGTAAGAGTAACAAAATAAAATGTCTCCATAAATAAAAGGCTGAAAGAAACCATGTATTTCTAATAAACAGCAGAAACAAACATTTATATTCATACTTTCTTTTTGCATTTATTTTACAGCCAGTCTTTCAGTTCAACACAGTCAGAGTAAAGCTTTGTATGTGTACAGGTTGAGTAACAGTAACACTTCTAATAAAGGACAGCGGTACATGAAAAAGAACATTCTGGTAAATGTTGTTGCTGTTTTTCCTTTCAGATGATTTTCCCAAGAGCAAGAATAAACAAATAACCTTAAAATCTTAAGTGCATCTTTACATGTAGCAGTCACATAATTCTCTAAACAAAAGACTGTAAAATAATATATTGCAGTGCATCCATCTTCCTACGGAGAAAGAATTCTCTCCAAGCGTTCTTCACCAACAAGCTAAAGTACGTTTTATATCATACATTTTTTCACAGACAGGTATGTAGTGATTTCTTGGAAAGTTCTCCAGGGAAGTGGCTGGTAAACATTGAGAGTTGCTGGTCACTCTGGATAAAACCTTTAATAAATATTTAGTTTATGACCTAAATGCACTGATCAACAGTCATCTTAGTATTCAGAACTAAGGTAAATTCCTGCAACTCAAAATAAACACTTTTCAATATCCCGCTAAAAAGCGGTTGGATGTTTTACTTTAGTAAAAGTAGTAATACCAGTGTAGAAATTAAAGTGCTGCATTGAAAATTCTACTTCATTTTAAACATCAAAATGTAAATGAAAGTACTAAACATTTAAAGTAATCATTATTGCCCCATTATAGAACTGTAATATTTACATATATATATATTTCGTAGCTTAATTTGTAATGAATACTACGATTTGTATCTAATAAATGTAGCAGAAGAAAAAGTACACAATTCCCTCTGAACTATAGTGAAGTATAAAGTCAACTATATGATAGATTAAAGTATATCATAATCGTTCTTAAGTACAGTATTAGAGTAAATGTACTTACCACTTTGCTTATCTTGCCCTTTAGTGTTTCCAGCTTGCCAAAACAAACTGATTCCTTTCCCGCAGTCTCTTAAAAATACCTTCAACTAAAACAAGTCTGAAAGTCAAAAGAAAATAGAGATCGATTCCTTAAACCAAAACTTAAATATTCATGATTGTTTTTCTCCAAGTTGCAGCTAGATTCTTGGCGTCCCATGAGGCAGAATCCCAGTTCTGAACATTTCAAACGTTGGAAAACAACAAAAGTGCTAATAAAATGTGGATGGGGTGGAAAGAGGAAGCTACGTTTTGTGCGTAGTATAATGTTCAGTCCTGAATGAGTTAAAACCTGCAAATCATGCACAACACAAACAGGCTGTTCAGACATACAATACATCTTAAATATATCTATATAAAACTATAAATAAATAACACTGGCAGGTTTCAGGTCAAAGTCCCGTTAAGGTGCGAAATGATTGCAAAATCGAGGAAAGGTGCAGTGTTGAGCACTGGGTGACAGGTTAAGATGTTGGTGTGTGAGTCTAGCTGACAGACTTGAGAGTGACCCAGGGGTTCGTCCCACGGACCTCCAGCGGGACGTCGTTGCTGAAGATGTGGTTGCAGAGTTCCTCCAGAGGGGGCTCGGGGTCTGAGGTCGCATACAGAGCCGCCTCCTCCACCTCCTTACGGATCGCAATGTCAATTTCCTACAATAGGAGAGAGGACTTGTGTCAATTCACGCAGCAAGACACATGGCAGGGTTTTGTTTTGACATCCCGAGAGAGGACAGTTGTCTTGGAAGGGACAATTAAAAGATTGGAAGTTTTATTTTGTCATCTTGTGAGATAACTCATATTCCAAGTAACTTAACAAATCCCTATTTTATACATTCCTGCACAATGGTACCTCTAAAAACTGCACAGCTCTTCCACTTAACTTCTGATTTACTGCACATCTGTCTTTCTTTTATTGAGTTTCCTTTTTTGTTAATTTTTATAAGTAGTATATACAAACAGTTTTCCCCCCATAGTTCTACATTAATTCCCATAGCCTACAACATATGCTGTCAAATTTAACAAATAAAATATATTTGAATTAAGTCTGAAAAATACCACAAAAAAAGAATCCTGAAACAAGTGTCTAAAGCAATGTCTTAATGTGAGAAATATTAGGTAAGAATGTGGAAAAAAAATTAGAAAATATTTTCCTTGTTGATTGTAGGTTTGTGTTGTTCATGTAAATATTATATATAAAGATATCTAAATGAAATATTAAAGAGAAAAGAACAGCTTGAGTGTCTGATGCTTTTAAAACAGTCTGCGTGTTCACCTTGAACTCCTCCACAGAGGCCATGTTGTTGGTGAGCATGCGCTCCTTCAGCATGGTGATGGGGTCGCTCTTACTGCGCACTTCCTGAATCTCGTCACGGGTGCGGTAGCTACAGGAAGTGACATCATAGAGTTACTATTAGACTTTGGTAACAGGGAGATGGCAAAACATTTTGTGGAATTTTAATATTTGACTGATGACGTTTGAATATGAGCTGACAAAAAGTTTACACACCTGACACCGGGGTCACTCATGCTGTGTCCATGGTAACGGTAGGTCTGAAGCTCCATTATAATGGGACCCTGAAACATAACACAAATCATTTCTATTGTCTGTGATCATTATACATTGTTTATTCTCTCAGAAGCCAAGGAAAAGTACTCCAAGAGTTCGATTCTGTAGGGGGAAAAAAAGCTACAGGAACTAAATGCTACGTGGAGATTAAGGGTGCAATGAAGCCTTGAGGGGCAAGTGAAAAGAAAAAAAACGTTACAGTCTTATCTTAATAGTTTTCCTCCCCTGTGTTTATGACTTAACGGGTGCAGAAAAGTGATGCCAGGAAAAGCTCAGCTCACCTTTCCAGCTCTGCAGTGGTCTGCAGCAAACTTGGTGGCTTCTCTGACACACAAGACGTCCATCCCATCCACCTACGAGAAAATTCAACAGAAAATAATGTTTTAATACAGACAATTCATTTTTGCATCCAGAATTGTACTTGCATTAGAATATTTCAATGTGATGTTAGAGTTTTTGTAAGCAGTATCATACATGAGCGTCAAACAGCTAAATGGATGCTCACACCTGTTACTGCCAGGACGGACGTTCAGCCTCGTCCTGTTATAGTCTGGGTTCATTCAGGCCAGCTGCAGCGTACAGCCCGCAGACACACTGCAGCTACCGCCTAAGAACCCCCCCCCCCCGTTAAACTTTATATATGCATGTGTCTCACTCTGATTCCTGGGATGTAGTCTCCTCTCTTGTAGTACTCTGTGCTCGCTGAAGCCCTCTCCACAGACGTCCCCATCCCGTATTTATTATTCTCACAGACGAAGATGCACGGGAGCTTCCAGAGGGCGGCCATGTTGAAAGCCTCATACAGCTGGCCCTGAGTGGATTAGGAAAAAAAGGTCTGAGTTCAGCAAAGGTATATAAATTCATTGCAAGATACTTAAAGTATTAGGCAGGATATTTACCTGGTTGGCCGCCCCGTCTCCGTACAGAGAAACACACACCTGGTTGTTGCCCTTGTACTGACAGGCCAGAGCAATGCCAGCTCCTAAAGGAACCTGAACACATCACAGCTGATCACATATAACAGCCAACACAAATAAAATGTTTACTTTTAAGCATCACCAAGGTCATTTTTCCTCTTTCATTTTGGCTGTCCAAATGCATTCATTTAGGCATTTACCTGTGCTCCCACAATGCCGTTGCCTCCATAGAAATTTGGCGCGTACATGTGCATGGAGCCTCCCTTCCCTTTGGCCACGCCGCCTCTACGACCTGAGGAGGAACAAAGAAGAGGTGTGAAAAAACTGCAGGCATGTTAAAAATGTCGTCCAATTTAAAACGTCTCCCTCACCTGTGAGCTCTGCCAGGATCTCTTTGACGGCGATACCGCGGGTGTACGTGTAGCCGTGAGCGCGGTACGCAGTGATCAGGTGGTCCGAGGGGTTGATGCCCGACTCGATGCCCACCGCACACGCTTCCTGGAATGGAGAAAACAAGCACTTTATTATACCACCAAAACAAACTGGTTGTGCAGGTGTCTATATATTTGCAGTAAATTAATGGACTAATCTTTGCCGTCCAGTTTTTTTTTGGAGTCTCAATTTTTACGACAGATTTAAAAAAAGGGGTCTTAAACAAAATGATAGTTCCAAAAAGAAAACGTACTGAATTTCCCCCTTTATGCAGTAAATAAATGAGATCCTTGTAGTATAGATGCACATTAAAAAAAGGTTTTATAGCAAATATGTTATCTAATTAGCAATAAAAAACAACCGATATTACATGCTGTTCAAAAGACTATTATCATACCAGTAATCATGAGATTCTCATGTTTATTTTGTCTTATAGCAGCGTTCACTTCCTCAAACAAATAATGAGTGAGGAAAAACACAAACCTGCTGCTGTGCATATTTCTGCGTGTCCTCACCTGTCCGTCGTACAGGTGGCAGAAGCCTCTGATGATCTTCTGTTTGTACAGCTGGTCAGCTTTCAGCTCCATGCGTCTCACCGTCTGCATGACGCGGTAATACTGCAGGCCCTGCTCCCGCGTCAGCTCCGCCTTCAGGGGGGGGCCCTCCTCCAGCCGGTGCAGCTCGCATTCCTACTCCCACAGATCATTAATATGACAGCTGTACAGAAATGTTTCAGTGTAGTGATGTCGGATTTTTGTTTTGACCCACCTTGATGTCAAAGCTGGCCTGAGAGGTGAAGTCAGCGAAGGAGCGGGACACAACGACTCTGGCACCCTGTGAACAAAAACATACACATTAAAAAGGACAAATATTAGTCATTAAACTCCCACATGGTGAATCACAAATAAAACAGTGTTTCAGACCGACAGAGTGGAAGCTGCCCCCTTATCACAGTGGGTGTAAGAAAGAAGGGTGGGAGGGGTCTGGTAAAGGTTTACCATTGCTACAGCGGCCGGATGCCACATTTCTAATATTGCTGAGCAACAACTGGCTGTTTTTGGGAAGGTATAAGAAGAAGGTCCTCCATTAAGCGGCCACTTCAGAAAACAACGTTTCAGTGTTGTGAGAACACTAGCAGGACAGTGGGGGCAGAGAGTTCATCAATAAGTTGGTCAATATAAATGCTGATAATTAATAAAGTATCAAGCAAAACAAATCTCAAAGTAATTGCTGATTTTTTGCCGACCAAAAAGCACTTGAAAATGTTGGGAATCTGGACTTTAAAAATACAATCAAAATATATATATATATTTTTTTTTTTATTGACGGCATCAAACAATAATAAGTTATTAAAAAAATAACAAGTTAATAACAAAATAACAAGTCAACAAGTTTGTAGCAGCTTTGGTTTTAGTGCAGCTCCATAAAATGATTACTTTGGGTGCTAAAAAAGAAAGGCATGCATCTGTGAATTCTGTTCAAGATGTGCCTTATTTGTCACATTCTTTTACTGATTTCATACATTTCCCAGAAAGGGAAATAAAAGATTAGAGAAACAAAGTTCCAACAAATGGGAGTACATTTTTTTGGAAAAAGATACAATCCGTAAAACAATTGTTAGTCGCATTGTTAGTTTTAGCTTTCTTTACAGTAGTCCATAAAATGATACAAATGTGTTTTAAAAACCACACATGCATCTGTGTTATTAAAACCTTAAAAAGGTTTCCCCATTTTGACATGTTCAGGGAAGGATTTCACACATTTCCCAGAAAGAAAACCCAAAGATTAGTACTTCTAATCAGAACAGAACCAAGAAATAGGTGGCATCACGACGACTTAGAGGTTATTTTGCTTTAAATCTGAATTGTAAACCCATAAGTTAGGATAAGTTAGTGATCAGTCACATGGAGGATGCCTTCGGTCCTTACTGGTCTGTCTGTCTCGGCCTGGTTTTTAACTAACTGCTCGGCCGGCACTCTAGTTCTGACAGGAGGCGGTTTGGGCGGCTGCCTCTGGGTCAGAGCCACCGTGGAGGCCGGCGCCGGCGAGGTGACACTGACGTACTCTGACAGGTCGACCAGCAACTGAGGAGCACAGGAGCCAACGAATCAGAGCACAGCCGCTCTACAGAGGCTACAGGGACACACACCATGACAGCTAGAGGAGGAAACAGACTGGCAGCGGCCCAACAGTGTCCACACTTCATCTGATATTTGCTTCATTGGCACAGCATTTAGATTTTGCAATAATGTTTATATTGAGGTACTTTTTTACCATAAGAGGGAAAAGTGCATTTTGTTGGCAGGTCAGTTTATCCAGAGACCCACATACGACAGTTTTCACAGGATGCATCTTAAATGAAAAATCTAAAAACATGACTTACGAGTTGGATGGTTTTTACACAGTTTAAAAGTAACTGACATAAGAACCAAGACTCTGAAGTGAACATTGTGGGAAAGCTACAAATCAAAGATCAGGATCAGCTCGCATTTGAATTAATCGTATTTTAATCGCAATTATGAAAACAACGTAATCGAAATAAAACAATTATTTTTTAATTATTATTCATTTTTGTTATTGGTTTTTCAGTTGAATTATACTTAAAGTTCAGGGTAATCAACTGTTAACATACTGTTCACATTTGTTTCTCCAATAAATTGATGTTTTCAAAGTAAATGGATAATCACTATTCTCTGGACAGTGTTGTCTTTTTGATTAACTGCTCATCATAACTTTATTGAGAGTTAGATTTCCTGCTTTAAATGTTGTGCCAATGTGAAATATCCCTGTGGCGGCTTTCCACCAAGATCTGGTCTAACCATGAATGAATAATGAATAAATTATACTTTTTACGAAATAATTGTGAAAATAAAAAAAACACAAGACTGATGATTGGAATGGACATTTTTGATTAAACTAAAAGAGATACAAAGTACAACTAAACAAAATACAGTTCTGATTTAATTCTATGCAGAAGAAGCATTAATGTAAAAATCATTGTTATTTCCGAACAGCATTTTTGGTATTTATTCATTAAGAGGCACCTTAGAGGAGCCTCTCTAGAAATGTCACTGCAGGAAAGGAGGCGTAGGAGACAAACATCAGGAGTGCGTGGAGCTGCTTACCTCGGACACTGTTTGGGCTCCCTAGTGTTCAGGTGAGGTTGGGAGAGGAGGGAGAAAAGCAAGAAATAAATTGGGATTGTTGAATGTGTTTGTGAGAGTGAATGAAGAGCAAGAGGAAGCCGGCGGGAAAGGAGGAGCGTTTTCAACACGGAGCTGAAACAACAGAAGTCCTTCAGTCACAACTTTGTTTTTTCAAATCAAATGTATATTTGAATCATATTCCAAATAAAGACCGAAGGATCCCTGCTGCGGCTGAACCACCACCACAAACATGCTGTTGAATAAGCTTAGTGATGAATATGGATGCACTGATACCAAATGATCATTTGATCTATATTGACTAAAAGTGTAAGGCACGTTTTAGTTAAATTGCAGAGTTGGATTTTTCTAACCTACATTTTTTAAGTAGTTCTGTATAATCCTTTAATGCATTTCAGCAAAGTTGTATCGACATTGATGTAATAAGTTTCCCTAAATCATAGATCGAAAAGCACAAGCATGTAGATTAGCTATATTTTAAGACAATAGCTTAAACATTGTGAGGCTGTGCTTCCATTAAAAAAATGGTCACTTACATTGCTTTTTACTTATTCATGTTCACTCCTTGCAGGATTTGTGTACATCTTAATTAGTTTCATTCAGTATAACTGTTTGTGCATAGTTAACAGATTTAAAACATTAACAAACTTGTTTTTCCACCACTGCTAACACGTGGTAGCTAAATGTAGCTTCAAGTCAATATGCATCACATCAGTGCATCCCAATCAATACAAGCTGCTGGAGGAAGGCAAACCACCACAATCAGACACATTATCTAATCTTAGTTAATGAAGATTAACTGAAGATAAATAAGAGTAAAGAGTGTACACTCCCCAGTGTATCCATGCCATTTAGAACAATCACCCTTTACTCACTCAACATTGAGCAAGCACACAATATTACATTATGTGACTGATTAATACATGCAAACATAGCAAGAGTCAAACTAGCCGCCGTGGCTCACGTGCTAACTGTTCACACAAGGTCAGCCTCAAGCAAAACTCAATCAAAGCTAGCTAGCTGTTAGCATTGTCCAGACACGGCCAACAGCTTGAAGGTAACCCCAAAACAACTCACCACATTTCGCCCAGTCATCCTACAAAGTGCGTTAGAGATAGTGGTCAACATGTTTTTCATGCTACTGAACGACGACCCGGCACTGGAGGGATTATAACAGCGGACGTTAGTCGCTGTGCTAAATCCCTGTTGGTGTCCGTGAGAAAGCGAGTCCGGTGGAACACAATGGCTGCTTCGAACATTGGTTCCCCCTAGGTTTATATAGCTGCCCGGAAATTAAACTAAACATTTCATGTAGTACAACATCTCAGAGCCCTAGAGATAATCTCTCTCGGGCTCTGCAAAATCTGATAGAAACCCAAAAAGGTAAAACATAAAAACGAATAATATATCTAGAAAGATGTATTAGTCCAACTGTTTTAATAGTAATGTAGATTACAAGAAGATACACCTTTGGGATTGTTAATTTCGACTAATTGAAAGGTTATATTTAAAACGTGTAACAGGCAGATTTTAAAGTAAATGTGTTCTTGTCTTTTGAACAGTTCTAAATTATGATTCATTTGACCAAACAGGTATTTTTTTTGTAAAATGTTTAAATAACACTAAACAATCACTTGTATCAAACATAAAGAAAGCAAAGACAAACAGGACAACCGTAAAGTCGGGATAAATACGAATTTATTTATTGCATTTGAGTAAATAAACCACTTGCTTTTGCAATAAATAAAGCTCATTCTCATTCAACTTAAAAAAAGGAAAGACAAAAAGTTTTGTGCGTATGAGCGACAGTGGAATATTAAAATGTAACATATTGTAAAGCAATATACTGCAAGGAGTTATGACATGGAAAGTAAACGTTTGATCATTTGACTGTTTAAGAGATGTATACACTGACTGGTTGTCAAACGAACAGAAGTTCTAAATAAGAGTAAATAAAATATAGATGCATTTATTAAAAATCTGTGTTGTAAAGTATAGGTTTTCTTTTCATCAAAAATATAAACCAACAGAACAAATAGAGTAACAGAAATTAAACATTGTCTCCGTGTAAGGTGTGTACAGATAACAAGACGTGATGTAAAAAAGATATATACTAAATTAAGTGCATTCATTCGACTCCACTGAGCGCACTGAGCGCAACGCACACACACACACACACACACACACACACACACACACACACACACACACACACACACACACACACACACACACACACACACACACACACACACACACACACACACACACACACACACACACACACACACACACACACACACACCACACACACACACACACACACACACACACACACACACACACACACACACACACACACACACACACACACACACACACACACACACACACACACACTGAAAAGCTTTGGCAGGCAGGTGGCAGACATGTTGCCTTCAGGGATCCACGGTCTGATTAAAGTGTCTCTTTCCGTCCAGGTAAAGCATCGACTCTGTGAGAAAAACACACACAAATAAAGAACATTAAATATTCAGACCGTAAGGCAATCAGAAAATCTGACCATTTAGTCACTTTTTGAAATGTTCTTTTCACAGAAAGAAAGAAAAATAATTAATTCAAAGGTATTTATTTTCCTGTACCAAATGATAAAAAAAATACTGATATTGATGCAATAATATGCTGGTCTCTTTTATTCTGCAGCTGGTGAAGGTGGAGCTGATTTTAATACATTTCTTTACTCTTTTGTTCTTACCTCCGTATGTCATTGGAATGATGTTGGGGACTTCGCGGTCAGAGATGAAGGTGAAGTGGAAGACGTTGGTGGTGTTGTGCTGCCGGGTCAGAGGGTCGAACACCTCGCTATGAACTCTCACCTGTATGTGATTCCCCTGTGTGTAACACACCTGAACACACACACACACACACACACACACACACACACACACACACACACACACACACACACACACACACACACACACACACACACACACACACACACACACACACACACACACATGAATAAATGCTGCAAAACATTTGAGTAAAATGTATATATATTTTGTATTGCCTAATACAACGCTACACATGATTTGTCTATAATACATTTGTTCATTTGGGTTTTTGTCTTGTTTTTATCCTGTGTTTCAATTGTTTTACTGCATTTGTATCACTTAATCACTTGCTCCTTTGCTTTTCATAACTCATCTATTACGGTGATGTAACACCTATATTTTCTTAGTGGGAATCAATAAATAAAGTTCTTATCTTAAAGCCAGATACGCGCCTTTAGAATACTACTTTCTAGAAATACAGTTGAATCTAATCTAAAACAAAGAACAAATAAGAAACAATCACTTAAAGCTGCAATGTTTTTGGTTAATTGGGGGAAGAAGAATAAACTGTAATTACAGACAACTCCTGAGGGAAATGTGTGTCTTTTGGCCAAAAGTAAATATTCAGTTCAGAATATAAAGATTTAAGATGCAGATCTGAAACTGATCAATGTATCTATAGGTTTTCCTCAAAGTCACTGATTCTCTGACCTGAGATGAGAGCAGCAGCAGCGATCCGATCTCCACGGGTTTCTGGAAGAGGATGTCATCAACCGCCATCAGGCTGGGGCGACATCCTCTGCAGCACGGGCACACGCGCACACACGCGCGCACACACACACACACACACACACACACACACACACACACACACACACACACACACACACACACACACACACACACACACACACACACACACACACACACACACACACACACACACACACACACACACACACACACACACCACACACACACACACACACACACACACACACACACACACACACACACACACACACCACACACACACACACACACACACACACACACACACACTTTAACATCTTGCAGGAAAGAAATATTTTGCTTTTAGACAGTCTTTTCTCAAAAGTCTCTAAACTCTCACCCAAAGGAGCAGGCGTTGGCCCAGCCCAGCTCGTACGCTTTCCTCATCAGAAAACCTCCAAAAATTCTGTTGAAGATGTTCCTCTCCTGCTCGACACACACACAGAAACAGACATTTAGAAGTGGAAACTCTTTAAAATATTTTGTATTACGGAGAATAAATTAAGAACACAAAACTAAAAACTGGGTAAATTATAAGGAAAACTGACCACTGTAATACATATTTAAATCTATTTTTCTTATGTAATTGTGGCTGGTGGATTTCAAGATTCCCCAAATCCTCTATCAAAAATATGAATAGGTTACATGAAAAAATAGGGACATCATACTGAATAATTAGACAAATATGAGAGAAAATAGGAGGAAATCTGGCCAATATAATAAGTATTTAAAATGTTATATTTGTTATAAAATACTTTTCTGATGTAAATGTTTCTGGTGTACTTTAAGATTAACAGTACTGTAGTGTTTCAATCAAATGTGAGAAGCAAAATCATACTCTGTCAAAGGATTTGTTGGTAGAACTTTTTTTCTATTAGGGATATAAAGCTTTATGTGTATTAGTCCACCTGAGGATGGCAGATCTCCAGTCCTTTCAGTTTTGCGTCTTCCATCCACACAGAGTTCGGAGGCAGGAGTCTGCTGCGGAAACTGACCGTCCTGCAAAACACACACAGCAAGATGTTTAATAGAATACATCTTATAGTAACATGCAAAACACCTTTTATAACTATCTAACATCCTAAACACAACCTTGCATTAAACATGGATATTGTTAAAAATATGTATCATCAGCAATTACAGTACAGACACTTTTGGAGTTGAAAAGTAGAATGTTTTAAAGTATAGAAACGTCCTACTTTTCATTAAAGTTTCAGCCTTTTTTCCACATCCCATACGTTTTTAACATAAACGAGGAATATTATATGAGCGTGTTTTTCCTCTCAGTGTTTCCATCTTACTTTGTGTCGAGGGTGTTGAGGAACAGACCGTGGACGATCTTCCTCTCTTCGTCTGTCGGCGCCACCTTCAGCAGCGAGGCCGTGCTTAGCTCCACACGGCGCACTTTATTCGCTGGAAAACACAAAGTATATAACAACAAATGTTGGTATGAAGAGAGGAGCATTTGTTATCTTAATATCAGGTTATTTAATCTTCTATTACCTTCTCCTTCCTGGAAAAGTTTCTCCTCCTCTGGACCTTCTGGCTTCAGCGGGTTTACATAAGCTGCCCTGAAATGAATAAAAGCAGCGACACAGATTCAATTGTGTTATATCACATTTTACCAGAGGTTGAAAGTACATGTAGTCATGTATAGTACTCAAGTATAATTTAAGGTACAACTTTATACTCTCTTACTCTAAATTAGTTCTTTTTTACTGCTCTTTTTTTTACGGACTTACTGCACTCTTTATAAAAGGACATTGTGACCTACCTCTTGTTTTCTGGATCGCGGGCCACCATGACAAAAGTTGCATCCAGAATCGGGGAATAAGCTCCATTTTGGTACTGAAAAGGAAATCACATTTTGAAAGAAAAATGTTAAGTATATCAGAGTTCATACGTGGAAGAACTGTGCCGTTTTACAGCGGTAGCTAACTAATAATACTGCTTTCTTCTTTTTTCTTTGTATAAAAAGGAAAAAAAAGACCTTGAATAAATGTTTGATTGTTCCAAATTTTTGCTGACATGCCTTTTTAGGCCTTCTTGGGTTGTTTAATATCACATTTATGAATGAATTGTACTCAACTAATAAATAATTACACTGATGATTGTGTGTGTGTGTGTGTGTGTGTGTGTGTGTGTGTGTGTGTGTGTGTGTGTGTGTGTGTGTGTATGTGTGTACCTGTGACATGTGCATCTTGGCTTCAATAGAAGTCTTTCCCACCCACGTCACATGACCGCTGAACTTGATGTCGCAGTCAGGGTAGATGATGTGCTGCCTCATGTCTGTACAATTATAAACAACAACAACAACAACAACATGAAAAAGTCTCAAGTGTGAACTACAGAGTTTAAAATAATCATGTAAGGGTGCGTTCAAAACATGCACATTTGCAAAGGTGGGTATTTTATGTTTGGACAAATATTCTCTGTCTTCCTTAGATAACTGTGATGTTTATAAAAACCAAATAAGGTAGAAGCAATGATTCACTCTCACCAATCTTATCCACCAGGGCGGTGACGATGGACAGAGGGGTTTTCTTCAGAGCCGGATTGTAGGTGTGAGAGTAAGAGATGAGGACTGAGAAGGAGAACAGGAGAACATGTTTTTAAGAGCAAATTAGAGAATGGTTACCTAATTATTGTTAAATTAATGAGAAGATTGACCTTTTATAAAGGATAGGTCATTTTATTTATATAGCACATTTCAATACAAAACATAGGAAGTTAAGTTTCATAGTAATACCTGCTAAACTGTCCAAATCCTCCAGGATCCGACCAAACCTGCAAACAGACACAAGTTAGAGGATGTACGGGTGGTGTGTGTGTGTGTGTGTGTGTGTGTGTGTGTGTGTGTGTGTGTGTGTGTGTGTATACCTGACAGTGTTGTGGAAGGTGAGGTATTTCTCCCTGAGCTGTGGCTCTGAGCCCAGAGGCAGGTGAACCTCCAGCCTGCTGTCCTTCATCCTCTTGAGGGGGAGGTCGTCCTGAGACTTGGCCAACATGTCGGAGAGCGACAGGCGCTCAGACATGGCCTGCTGGTGGTCGCTGCACACAAGATTATCAGATTGTTTCGTGACTTTTCAATACTTCTTACTTTGTTTGTCGTGCATAGTATCCATTCTCTTTAAACATTTTACTGTTTCTCTTTTGCAAATGTTATCAGACACAATAGCAAACAATCTTGGCCCGACAAAGCCAAACGAAACAAAACAATACAGATATGATTCTGTTTTTCTGACGCTTTGACACAAATGGTTCAGTACCTCCAGTTTGTGGAAGCTCCCACGATTTCTCTCAGCCTGTTTCTCACTGAAAAACACAGGGGGGAAAAATCAGACCTCCTATGTGTGTGTGTAAGAGTGTGCATGTGTGTTTATCAGAGCAGGTGTTCTGCAGCAAAAGCACCAAGAGTTCAAGGCCATATGTTTCATATCGTCTCTGGGAAAAACAATGAAGCGGTTTCACTTTAGGTTTGCAGCTGAAGCCTCTCGAAAACAAGTTGTGTCATTTTCAGCCGACACGATGTGTTTACATTTCACACAGATTTCTATTCAAGCGTAATTATGTGCTTTACTATTTGTTAATCTTATAGGTCTTTAGGTTTCATATTTACATGAACCACTCTTACAAAAATAGCGGGATCTGATTATGAATTTAACCGTCTGTTATTCCTTCCTGACGGCTTCAGCTTTTAGAGGCCCAAACAGTGAGACAATATAAAACCCCAGAAGAAGAAGAAGAAGAAGAAGAAGAAGAAGAAGAAGAAGAAGAAGAAGAAGAAGAAGAAGAAGAAGAAGAAGAAGAAGAAGAAGAAGAAGAAGAAGAAGAAGAAGAAGAAGAAAGAAAGAAGGAAGAAGAAGAAGAAGAAGAAAGAAGAAGAGAAGAAGAAGAAAGAAGAAGAAGAAGAAAGAAGAAGAAGAAGAAGAAGAAGAAGAAGAAGAAGAAGAAGAAGAAGAAGAAGAAGAAGAACAAGAAGAAGAAGAAGAACAAGAAGAAGAAGAAGAAGAAGAAGAACAAGAACAAGAAGAAGAAGAAGAACAAGAAGAAAGCAAGCACTGCTGAAACAAGATTAGCTTCAGGTAAAGAGAAGGATGTTCAGTCAGTCACCATGCAGGAGGAAATGACGTGCAATTAGAGAAATCACTGTGGGAGCAATAGTGTAGTAGTGTTAAATATGATTCGTCGTGGTTTACCAACACACCATTAGACACGTGCAAAAGTGGGTTTCCTGTGGAGAAACAAAAATGATTTTAAAGGTGCAGGATATGGCTGGATGTCTGGGGATTTCACACAGAAATGAAATATGGCACCATGAAGCGTTTTGTGTGATTTATTTCATCAGACGCCTTCGCATCTGCTGCAATAAAATAGCTGCAATATGTTATGTCTTGATTCACAGATGTGGAAATAACTGCAGTTGAAAATGTTTGCATGTTTATTTCATCCATAAATACAGCCTTGCTGATGTTTTGAGATTGGATTTATTCATTTAATTTTGTTAACGAAAATGTCTATCAATACAGTTTGAGTTGATTTGGATTACTATCTGGAAAGTCCCATTAAACAAGAGTAAACATCATGAACTGAAGTTGGATGAATTATCCGCAAATAAAAGTGATATAAATAAATAAGTGTGCGGGGCACTTTCACCTCCTTCATCAAGGTGTTGCATCAACATGTATCGTCATATTACAACAGTAAACAGCAAAGTCCAACAAGTGGTTATATAATGCAGTTGGCCCCTGAAAAGCTGCTCGTTTTCACTTGTTTGACTATCTGGGACACCATATTCTTACCTAGAGGTGACGTAGAGGCATGTGTGTGCCTTATAATCTGAATTAACGTGTCATTTTGTAATTGTATTTTAGAAAATCCTGAGATGGTGACAGATCTAAAACCAGGTCAACACTAGAATTCAAAGTATGTACAACCAGACATGTCTTTATTGATTCAACTAGGGGGGGGGGGGGGGGTTAATCCCTTGTACAGGAAGCATGGTTGTTGTCCTACCGTCAGCCATGTCAGGCGCCTTGCCCTGCTTCAGCACGGCCCCCACGCTAAATGACCTGGAGGTCAAAGACGCGGTCGACCGCAGGAGCAGGAACCTGAAAGGATAAATGAGGACATGAGAAAAAAATGATAAACAAATCTGAGGTGACCTTAAGGCTGAGGAGTCCAGTTACATCCACATGCATCCTTTTCTAAATATAACTGTCATCCAATCTGTATTTAATCCTGCTATTCAACAGTGAACAGCTGATCAGGCAGAGAGACAGACAGACAAAAAGACACATCGACTGTCCCTGCCTGCTGCATGAAACTTGTGGTTTTGACAAAGATTACATTTAAAATGCTTTATTGTCATATTTACAGTACAGGGAAGTAGAACATCTTACAATATACAGAACTTACGGTATCAAAAATAAATACAATAGTGCAAAAGACATTATGCTGCAAGTAACATTCAGGAATAAGTTAAATATATATATATGTATACATTGAGAAATCTGCTCAAACGTTTTCCACAAGAAACACAACAGTAAAAGTTACAAAGCAGTTAATCCAGCCGTTATTCTTGCGTAATAAAGTGATAATACCTTATAAATGCATTCTTACTTTAGAATACTTTTACTCCATTGTAGTTCAGATACAAATATTACACTAACAGTTAACATTTAGGAATCTTGACAAAAATATGTAATGTCATTCATTCTGCAAAGTATCTTCTGATGGTTACACTGCAGAAAAAGATTTTAAACATGAGTTGAAAAAATATAGTTCATATTAAAGACTTAAAACTCCATAAGCCTGGAGATCAAGAAGACACTTTTTATACCCCAAAGAAATGCTGTGCAGCATTTGAAAAAACTAAGTGGATATGCAAATATAAACAAAATCTAAGAAAAAAATGAGTGCAAAACAGAAAATCATCTCACTTTATGTCTTTATCTGAACATTATATCCCAAAATATATGAACTAGTTTGATCTGCCATTGTAATCAAGTGGAGTTGCAGGGAAAAGCCTATTTCTCTATTATGAAATATTTGGTGTTAAACCTTATACTATATGGGTGCTTTCTTTCTGACAGTGGTATGAACTTGACACACCCTATATACACATAATGACTCCCCACCCAGTTTGGGCCTGGTGAACTATTCCCAGGACAAGCTGATATATTTACTGAAATGAAATAAACCAAACTAGCCCCAGTGTCTCACACACAAATGCATCATTGACACATGTAGGTTAAAAAGCTGTTTAGCATTCCTGGGATTCATTTGACTGTATATATGCTAACGGTTAGCAAAAGCATCAACAGAACTTTGAGCCATGTTTTTATTCACACTGACCTCGGTGAAAGCATTGTAGTTTCCCGGGTGTAACCGTGAACGGTTCAGGGGACGAAAAAAGCGGGTTATTTCGGTAAAAAAGGAGAAAAGTGACAGATTTTTTTCCAGGGTACTGCGGTGCCAAGGTAGCAGGGCAAGTCAGGACTACCAGAACAGCTTCCGGGTTGGTGTTTGGCCCCGCCCACTGCAGGAGGACGCAATAAGTACTATATCACCCTGAGTTCAGCCTGTCAGGAGATCACCCGTGCCAGGCAGATACATCACTGTGGACGTGTGGCGACATATATACTGCGTTTGCACCATTCAATGTTATTGACTGAAAATAGTTGCCCTAAAGGTGTGTAAATTACTCTTGATTAATAGAAGGGGAAAAAATCGTCACTGTTTAATCGTGCAGGAAGAATTTAGAGATGTAAGTGAACTAGAAACAGCAATCACACACTGTATGAAACATATTTAATAAGTAGAAAACCCACACATAAAACTTGTTTTAAGTAAAAGTATACATCTAAAGTTTTTAGATCTTAACCCATGCTTTAGTATTGACTAACAATTAAAATACCTCAAACTCTGATGGACTGTATAGCATATACAAAACTATTGGTTCACACTGTTTTACATTGTAGTTTATTCATAAGTTCCAAGTTGAGTCATTAGTATGGGCAGAATGTATTACTATGTATTTCCTGTCATTATTTAACACACCTTAAAGTATATTGAGTAGTATTTAATAACCTTTCAGCACGTAAAACATTCTACAAATATTATTCTTGTTCACACATAACTTATGATGCTGTTTACCTTTTCACACTTCATGTCAGGTAAAGATGCAAAACTCTTACTTCAAATAGGTAGTCAAATATTGTAGTTTTACTTCACAAAATGTATTTGACACTTTGTAAGATGCAAGATTAGATAAATTATCATTTATTATTTGTATGTTGAGGTAATTAAAAGGAGCTCCACCTTTACCAGCTGCAACATTTAGGGGCAAACAAATCGTTGAAAAAATAATATAATAAATTACATTATTCTGGATCATATGTATGCATGGTACTTTATGGATATTTGTATGCGTTCGTGTGGTTTATATAGTATCAAAATATGTGAACATTACAACTTTCTTTTTTTGTTGCAAATACGTTTTAGATTTGTCATACTTTACTCTAATTTGTTAGCATTTCTACATTGTGCTATAACTTAAGCTACTTCTTCCACCAAGTACAAAACACTTTACTTTGCCGACAATAACAAAGATCTTATGACCGAACTAGAACCTACGCTTCACGTGAGCATTCCTTGAGTCCTGATTGGCTAAACAAACTGGCAGACTGTGACGCTGATTCGTCAGAAATATGATAGGTTGGGAACTGACCAACCACATTCCAGCGCGAGCGGGGTATAAAGCTCCCGATGTAAACAAAGGAAGCGGCAGTTAAACGGCAGCGACCCAGCCGAGGGTGATAACTACTGGATGACCTTCTTGTTTCGTCTAATGCGTCCGGACCAGAGACTGACTGTTGGGAAAAGGCTACTCTGAAGCGAATGAAGAAACAACTAATCTTTCACTTCACATACAGAGGACTTCTAAGAAAAAAGAGTAAAAGAAGAAAATGGAGTATAAATTGCGAAAGGCTGAACCCAGGGACGTGTCTGACATATTACGATTGGTGAAGGTAGGCCAAGGACCATCATACACATCTAACAGTCGCCGAAGGATTGAGCTAGCCAGCTAGCTAACTGTTAGGTAGCCGTGACATTCACATCTACTCTATTCTACCGGTATTTCCGACGATATGAAAGCCAGACGACGCTTTAAACACAATGAATCACCGTCTGGAGGATGTCCGAGTGAGATTAGTTTCGGTGGTCTTTGTTGACAGCATGGAGACTCGTATCCGGGTTCCTAAATAGTCTTACCTACAGCTTAAGTTCTTACGGAGGTTAATGTCATGTTGCACAACTATACCTAATGGGATGACATCAAGAACACAACAAGGGCTACAGGTGATGAGGGTTGTACTTTTAATTCGAGTAATATAGTTAAGAGAATACTAGGAAAATGTCCACCAAAAATAGGGCACGTTTTGTCTGACCTACGGACCAAATCACATATTACTTATCAAACATAGCAGCATGCATTCAGCTGATAAGCACATAACGATAACAGTTTGAATCAACAACTATTAGTCATAATATGAAGCATAACTGGTATTGAAGCAGTTAAAGGTATTGATTTCCTATATATTTGAAAAAATGTGTTTATACATCCTAAAAGTAAGTGTTGACTTGCCTGTTATGCCTAGAAAAGTTCTTAAAAGAACAAGGGATGCTTATGTCATCAGTGTGAGTTATACAAAGTAATGAGACTATCGTTTTCAGATGTTTTGAACTTAGTTTCCTTACTTGGTATAACATACTTTGTGTTTTTCTTGTCCCAGGAACTTGCTAAGTATGAAGAGATGGAGGACCAGGTCACACTGACTGAAAAAGGTGACTTTTTATAAAGCTCTCTCCATTGATCTATTCACATAACTATCAGTGTTGTTCCCCTGAGGCTTAAGGTGTAATTTGCTTGCAGAACTCCTTGAGGATGGTTTTGGTGACACCCCGTTTTACCACTGCATCATCGCTGAGCTCCAAGGAAAGAACAGCAGTGACGGTAAGAACACCCTGCTGCTTCTCATAACAACTGAAACGCACACCCCCCCCCCCCCCCCCCCTTGGATTGACCTTGAGTTACCTCACAGAGAAGCCGTCTCCAGAGAGAAATAGATACAGATATGTGTTTAATAAAGAACGCTGTTTCTTTTGTCTGCAACTTAAGAGTTTTGGATATTTACTCTCCCTTTTGAAAGTGTAATCCTGAGTTTCTCAGACATTTCTGAGTTTGAGGTTATGACTCGCTGCTTCCTCCACCTGCGCAGACCGACGGTGTGAACCTAAACTCTGTACAGCGTGTGCTTCCTGTTTTTGTACAGCAACTTCAGATCCCAAATATTTTATTCATTTACAATGTTTTGTTATCATCATAACTTTACCTGTTAGCCAGGAGTTCTTCCCAAAACATGGCAGAAGTAGATTAGCCTTAAACTTGCCAAGTAATTGCTTCACAAAGAACCCAGCATAAACAAAATACTTTACACAAGAAGAGGAAAACTATTTCAAATGAAACTCATATGACTTAAAGGTGGGGTAGGTAATTCACTTCAGAAACACTTTTTGTTATATTCCATGGAATGCTCTAAACATCCCGATAGCAATGAATATATTAAATGCTTTGACAATAAATACATAAAAAAATGTAATCTGTGGAAGCCGTGGCGCTGTAAAAAGCACGACCAATCATCTGAGCCGGCCCGGCTAAAATAACTGGATGGCCTACCTGCCTGTCAGCCTTCCATCTGGGCACAAACTTATATCGTGTCCTCATTGGTCATGTGCGCGTTCGTGTGTGTTGGAGGAGGGGCTCTGTAAGGAAGGGGCAGATTTTTTTCGGTTGTGTATTTTCAAATTCTAGCGCACTCAAGCTGGTTTCTCCATTCTTACCTACCCTACCTTTAAACTCCATGCATTGCATTCTGTGCACTAAAGGCCACACCATGAATTTGGCAGAAGTAATGTCCATTCACGCAACTGTATGTACTACACATAATATAAATATAGGAATGTCAGTATAAATATAAACGTATATGGATACTTACCCCTCTCCCCACTGTGTGCAGACGGGAAGGTGGTGGGTTTCGTCATGTACTACTTCACGTATGACCCCTGGGTCGGCAAACAGCTGTACCTGGAGGAGTTCTACGTGATGGACGAGTACAGAGGTAAGGGAAAAGAACGGCTCAGCATTTCATTATCTCGGCAGCTGCTTTTTTAATTAATGAGCTCTCTCTGTTCCCTCTCTCCAGGAATGGGCATTGGCTCCGGGCTTCTGCGCCACCTCAGTGATGTGAGTATGTTTACTGACGAGAGATACATTGAGTTGCAATGGTGCACATTTTCCATTTGAATGTTTAAAAACCTGAGAGAAAATGCGAGGAAGTCCTGGAAAAATAGCATCATATTACATTTTCTACATTGCTCCACACAGAATGTAAGCTTTCTGACAATATTGCATCTAAATGTCATATTACATAACGTTTTTATACATTTAATAGTTGGACATTTTATTTTATCAAGCTGTTAATGATCTGCGCTCTTCTCAAGTGCAATGAAAGTAAGAAACGATAATGGTTTGAATGAATAAAACACCCAGTGCGATGATAAAAATCCAAATGTTTCAGTATATTTTCCTGTCAAATAATTTATCAGAAAACTAACTCTAATTTAAAAGAAAACTACTCTATTTGTAATGTTTGTGTTTCCCCTTTTTGTATCAAGCAGCTTTTTCTTTGGATCTGTTTTCTCGTCATGGTGTGTTGGTAAGAGAAGTACACATTTTAACTTGAATCCCCATCTCTCTTGCAGCTGGCGATGAATACGCGCTGCACTGGCATGATGTTTGTGGTGGCCGAAAACAACGAGCCGTCCATCCAGTTCTACAAGCTGCGCGGCGCCGAGGATCTCTCCCAGGAGGAGGGCTGGAGGCTCTTCAGGTTCAGCAAAAACAGCCTGGTGAAGATGGGCACGCCAGCGGAGGAGTGACGGAGGAGGAGGCTGATGGAGACAGAGATCAGTCGCTTCGCTCCACTCAGCGTTCAGCTTTGAGGGGCATTGTGTTTCACAGTAATGTTTCTGTTTGTCGTTCACAATATGAGTAAGCCTTTTGTTTATTGCTAGCATGTAGCTCTGAATCACTTATTTTAACCTCTTATTGTATGTTGGTATTACTGCGTTTGATTGCAGAAACAGTTAATATGACTAAAGTTTGAAATAAAACTAACTTTTCAAACATGGTCTCATGCTTTAAACTTTTCTTTAAACGCCTTTTTAAACTATGCCAGTTTAATAATATTTTTGACTCATTTTCGAACTGCAGCTGTCACGTTACATTGGGAAGTTTAACATTAGATTATACACGGTCTTGAACATAGTACTACAAGTTTTAAGACATGATCAATGTTACATTTATCCTTAAGCGTATACAAATGAACTAGATCTTAAAGGTGTATCACACAAATGTGGCTTTAAACTGTCGATTCACGCCAGCTTCCAGCAGACACGTAAGACATTACATGTTACTTGTTAGATGCTTTTATCCAAAGCGACTGACCTACTCAATACTGTGGACAATCCCCACAGGAGCAATTTGGGGTGAAGTGTCTCAGGGACACAACGACATGCTGACTGCAGTGGGGTTTGAACCTGTGACTCCCTGATCCAAACACCAACGCACTGTCCACTGCGCCACGGCCTCACAGTAAGATGAGTCTGTTAATTTTTTTTACACATTGTAATGCGAATATGTTAAGTTCTAAATGTACACGGGTCAGTGTATTTCCTGTGTTTTCACTGCCTACTTCCACATCAACTTAGAGGGTGAACAAATGGTCTCAATAAAGTTGTGTATATATATATATATATATAGCTCTGAAACTGGACATACTGATGTTCCCACTGATGGATGCTTTAAACAATGTGCAGATAAACAGTTAAACCTCATGTTGCTACTCCCTTAGTGGGGAAACACAGGAACGTGATGTTTGTACTGAACAAAGATTGATATATTTTTCGCTACTTTGGCAGTTTTTTCACACGCAGCACACATGTGACAACTGGATATTTTCAACAAGCGTTTTAAAGATTTGAGGAAGTTCAAAACTGTTTTGTGGTGGGGTTCGTTTTTGTTCCTCTTGGGTTTATCACATGCATGTTATTCCTGCTGATTTTGCGTCTATTCGGCTAGTTCATTTCATTTTCATTTTCAGTCTTTATCTTTAACAAATGTGAAAAACAGAATAGTTAGTCATTGCAGTTGAATAAATATAAAAAACTTGACACTTGCATCTAATCTATATTATATAACTTATCTTTCCTCATTACTATTGCTGCCATGACACCTGATTTTTCGTACAGGGATTCATATAGTTGTTATATCATGTATTTAGAAATAGAAGTTTGGTATATTATTCGATTAGATACATTTTGAAGTACTTGATCCCTAACTTTTTGTTACAGCAGCATCTTACCTAGGCATTTGACATTAGTTAAAAATAAATAGTGTTAATATAAATATCAACAGTAGTAGTAATAGGTAATGTTACGTTCCCTTCTAAATCTAGGGGTACAAAGGGAAGTAACAACACACAAAATAACCGGCCGAGAGGAAACTGAATGCTGAAGCCACAAAGTGAGGTTTTAATTAATAAAAAAGTAAAGAGGCTTACCAGCCAAATTGCAAAACAAAAATTAACTAAGGACAACTTTCTTTCAAAAGAAAGTGACTAACGTAAAACAATACACAAAGACACACTGGAGCACATCTCCTAACAATTAGCAGAACACAGGTTGAACTAGGCCTCACACAGAGACACTACAGCACGTAACACTACAGCACGTAACACAGGCTGCACACATGCAGCCAGAGGAGAAGGAGAGACGCCACTGCAGCCTTCCTCAGGTCCTTTATGGAAGCTCTGATTGAGGATTGGGAGCACCTGGGGGAGAGGCTGCACCTGGAGACAATCAGGGAGAGAGAGAGAAACACACACAAAAGCACACACACACAAGCACCAACTGCGGCACGTAACAGTAATTATATTGTGTTCAGATTTTTGAGGGTCATTTAAGAAGGTTCTCGTTTATTCTAACTTTTTATTTATATTGTGTATTCATTGGATACTACATAAATATATAACTTTTGTGCAAATGCTTAATAAACTGCTGCTGATTTAACACAATAATTTAACAATGTTGGATCCAAAAAGTAAATTCCTCTTTGTCACCTCATGCTGCTTTCAAAAACAGTGTATAAAACATGTTAATGAGTATAATTGGTTTTAAATCAAGTTCCTTTAAACCCACATCAATATTGGGAGGGTTCAAACAGAGGAGTCGCATCATATCCTCTTCAGAAACATTACATCACGGGTCAAGAGATAAATCAGAACCAGAGGGAGAAATGGAAGAGGAAATGAGATTAAAGGGAAACATTCTCACACACACACAGCTCTGGTTTTTCTCTGGACGTGCAGCTGACGATGGTTGACTGCATCATCACGAGCCAGACAAAAAGTGAAGAAATAGACATTTATACTGGGGGGGGGGGCGCTTACTCCAGTAGCTCCTTTTAATGTTGTAGTACTTTATACACGATCTGACAAGTTCAGAGGATCTCTGTGTTCATTTTGTTTATCCTTCTAGTCATTTATTTATGTTGTCATTTTCATCTTCTTTTAATAGTCTTAACTATCTTTAGTCATTTACTTTTATACATTTGGTGTCATTTTTATGATTGATAAAATCATGATTTATCTTTGTCAATTAATTAATTTGGTACTTAATATCTATTTTGTATCTATTTATATATTATTATGACACACTTACTCACACAACCAGGGCCGGCCCTAGACATGTTGGTGCCCTAGGCGAGATTATGATTTAGTGCCCCCTCCAAGCAATACATAATAGAATATATAAAGAATAAATCTCTACAAAAGACCTATACACTACAAAAACGTATTGACATGTTGGTTATATAAAGGTTTCAAATGTATTCATTATTGTATGAACATGTTTTAATTGGGGGGTGGACGTCACATCCTCAAGGGCAGTGCTTCTCAAAGTGTGGCCTAGTGGTCCGTGAGTATATTGGTAACATTTCCCATTTGAAATAAATAAATAAATGTAAGTTTTCCGCACTCTTGCGGGAATATCTCCGCAATGGAGCGAGGTTACAACAGCACAACACCTTCATCACACATGTTGCCACTTGTGTGTACAATTTTCAGGCGATTTGTAATCTGTTTTAGAAAAACTGTTTTTTTATATTTGTGGAGTTAGGTGGTCCGCGAGTGTTTTTTTTATTGGTTAAGTGGTCCTTGGTATGAAAAAGTTTGAGAAACACTGCTCTAGGGGGGTCCAGGGATATGCCCCCCGGAGTGTGGGTGCAAAGGGTGTTTACTTTATTCAATTATTAATGTATTACATCAAGGGCAGAAAATTAGGCAGAATACTTTTTTTTTTTAATTCTCCGGAGACCGCGGAGTCTACACATGTGCAGCCTCGAAATGTCTCGCTACGAAGTACGCCAGGCCGGCCTCGGTAGAATTCCAAGTATGCTGGACATTGGAACAGTCCTTCGGCGGGATTCGATGACGTAGTATGCTTGAAGTGGCTCTGGAGCAGCCTTCCTGGACATTGAGAAACACCCATGTACACCGTAAATACTCCCACAAGAAAAAACATCAAAGAAGAAAAGATGTGTCCTTTTCAGAATCCAGATTTATTTCCATCGCAATAAGATAAAACCTTGTACAGTATATACAGCGCATTATTATACATGGACAACACATACATTTAGCTCGTTAATTATGATACATCACTTTATTTGGCCCTTTACTGTAACAAGTACGTTACATCAGTATCAACTGCGACGTGAAAACATCCGGGGGAATAAATATGTCGACATGAATACTTCTTTTTCATGTATACTGTTGTAAGCTGCACTTGACAACGACAGCTCTTCAACGCTGCCCGTATAACGTTCATAATAATAAAAATAACTTCATAATGCAAAGAAAAGGCAAAAAATAGTTGGTCATTTTGAGAAAAGTGCAACAAAAAAATCCATCAGCAGAGACGACAGGTAGTTGGCAAATAATGATTTTTGAACCAACAACATATCATTTATAAATGTTTTTCTAGTCTGCATTGGTCTTTCTACTTAGTTTTTAAACTTCTTCACTGGTTTTTAAAGCATTTCTGCTTACAAACACAAGAAGAGACAAACAGAACAATCAATTAATTCATTAATTACTACTCTTTCCATTCCAACTAATTCCAAAGATGACATTTTCTTACTGCTTTTAAAGAGAAATGCACTTTACTCGAAAGTAAGAGGACGGGAAATGAAACCATCGAAAGATACATGATTTGCAAAATAGTGGCTGATTAATTGTATGTCAGTTGTTTCAGCTGTAACAGCGCATTTCTTAGTTTGTAGCATGGGAAGTTGTGTTGTGCAGCCTCAACAAATAAAAGAATGAGGAAGTGACGCTGGCAGATACAGTCCTGTTCTGCTGCACATTAGAGAACAAACACTGCAGAAACTGACACCATGGAAAGAGAACATGGGAATGATTAGCTTCTCCAAGAAGCAGACACAGTTTTATCTGGATATTCAGAATATTGACTATCCTGAAAATACCTGTGTCTTGGAAAGAGGGGGGGGGGGGGTTTCAGAAACACACTTCACACGTTTTGGAGATGTTCAACTTAAATAAATAATGACGTCCTGATTAGTGGCTGTGTGTCTGAGTGAATAATTATAATAAGAGTTAATATACAGGAGTCGTACAGGTGTGCGTTTCTATGTGTGTTACTGGAAAGTGGAGTCTCAGCTTGTGTCGCTGCTCTCCGTTTTCTCTTTTTTCTCCTGAGCAAAAGGAAGAACAAAAAAAACGTTATTTATATTGCACTTTTGGAAGCAAAATGCTTTCAAAGGCAACATTAAAATGGTGAAAACGATGATAAAAACATTTGAAAACAACCTCAACATTAAGCAAAAGTAGGTACATATGAGAAATGGAATATTTCAAACAATATAAAAGAATGTAGTAAATATATAAATAGATTTTAAGAAGGATCATCGCCATTGTAATTAAAGGCTTATGAATGATTGGTCACTGAGACCCACCTTCTTTTTTCCAAACGGAGGATACTTCCAGAGACTCTCCAGGTTGCCGCGGCCACGCTGAGCCAAGCTGTACGTCGAGTCACGACCCCCCTGGT